CATCTGCCACCACTGAGAACAGCCGAGCTCCATCCTCTTTGGAACCCCCCCTCAGGTAGTTGAAAGCAGCTATCAAATCCCCCCTCATTCTTCTCTTCTGGAGACTAAACAATCCCAGTTCCCTCAGCCTCTCCTCATAAGTCATGTGCTCCAGACCCCTAATCATTTTTGTTGCCCTCCGCTGGACTCTTTCCAATTTTTCCACATTCTTCTTGTAGTGTGGGGCCCAAAACTGGACACAGTACTCCAGATGAGGCCTCAACAATGTCAAATAAAGGGGAACGATCATGTTCCTCGATCTGCTGGCAATGCCCCTACTTATACAGCCCAAAATGCCGTTAGCCTTCTTGGCAACAAGAGCACACTGTTGACTCATATCCAGCTTCTCGTCCACTCTGACTCCTAGGTCCTTTTCTGCAGAACTGCTACCTAGACATTCGGTCCCTAGTCTGTAGCAGTGCATGGGATTCTTCCGTCCTAAGTGCAGGACTCTGCACTTATCCTTGTTGAACCTCATCAGGTTTTTTTTGGCCCAATCCTGTAATTTGTCTAGGTCCCTCTGTATCCGACCCCTACCCTCTAGTGTATCTACCACACCTCCCAGTTTAGTGTCATCTGCAAACTTGCTGAGAGTGCAGTCCACACCATCCTCCAGATCATTAATAAAGCTATTAAACAAAACCGGCCCCAGGACCGACCCTTGGGGCACTCCGCTTGAAATGGGTGCAGGATTTGACTACAAATAGGGTAGAAAAAAAATTGATCAAGGGCCAGCTGCTAGCAACTGTAATCTTTGGCTCCCTCATCTGTCACCATTGTCACAAGCTGACCCAAAGCTGCTCCCAAGCCCCTGGTGTTCCTGGTTTCGCTTTCATCCCAGACAGTTCTTTGCTGTTCCTTTCCCCAGTGAGTCTTTTTTTCAAGTGAGGATTCCTTGGCTGCCTTCTTTCTTCTAGAGAGACACGTAAGGACCCCAAAGCCTTTCTCTCATTTTTTTTCTTGGGGGCTCCCAAAGGTAACAAATGTCATTTTTCCCCTGTGGAAGTTGCAAGCCAACCAGGGCCGGCTCCAGGGTTTTGGTCGCCCCAAGCAGCCAAAAAAAAAAAAAGCCACGATCGCGATCTGTGGCGGCAATTCGGCGGGAGGTCCTTCGCTCCGAGCGGAAGTGAGGGACCGTCCACTGAATTGCCGCCGAATACCTGAACCTGCCGCCCCTCTCCAGAGCGGCCGCCCCAAGCACCTGCTTGCCAGGCTGATGCCTGGAGCCGCCCTGAAGCCAACACAAAAAGATGCCCCGTTCTACCTCTCTCCCAGGTCCAAACATGCTGGGCCTGACTGATCTCTTACATCACTGTAAATCCGTTGGCTTCTTCGGTGGAGTGATTCCCTGCTTCTCTCTCAGTAATAAGACAGGACAAGCAGCCCAATTTATTTACCGTGCTGGAAAATTGCTCCTCAAGTCCCCATTTATTGGAGTGTCACAGGAAAGCCTCACTCCAGTTAAAGCCCTGGAGCACTACTTTACAGTAATTTTTAAAAGGTCTAAAGAAAGGATCAAATAAATCCAGGTGAGGGGGAAAGTTACCTCCAAACTTGGCAGAGAATCATACATAAGAAACACAGAAGAAAATAGCGTTAAGAGTGACTATTGGCAGCAATACTTAATTTCTGCTTCAGAAGATGTATTATGTGAAAAATTCTGTAAGCTTATTATACTTGGGACTCTGACTGCAGTTATGTATAAAGAGTGGCATTCCGGGGTCTACAGAGAGCAGCCAAGGCTCCTGAACCATTTAAGTGATACATAGACTTTGTGCTTGCTCTCTGCACAGGGATGAATGTCACCCATATTTTGCATGCTGATCTATTCCTATCACTTAAGATGTGGCAAACCCACAAGGTAAGCTGCAGAATTTGTAATAGAATCACATGAAGGCTGACACATGCACATAAAGAGCTGGTTAAATTGTTTTGATTTTCAGAATTTCATCAGAATTGTTTCACACAATAATGCAAAAACTTTTCACCAAAGCTTTTCACCATTTTCCAACCAGCTCTCTCACACACATGGGTGCAGAGTATTATACACAGAAAGGGAGGCCCCTTTTTGAAAATCAGGCACTGAAAGCCTTAGCTTTACTTCTTTGAGCAGAGTCAACCTCTGGTCCCATGTCCAATTTAAGGATGACAACGGATATTTCTCTCATACGCCGAAAACAAACAGGTGTGCCCTGACGCTGTTTTTTTTTTTCCATTTTTCATTTCTCAACATATTGCCATAGATCACAAATGGATTTTTCACCTGGACGCCTGAAGGATCTGCGACATTGTCCAACATTGATATCCGAATCCCTCAAGGTAAAAAAACACAGCAGATGTATCGAATAACACATGTTCAGCAAATGTCTGGTAATCAGAACCTCAAATATGCTTCCCACTCTCCCAGGTCAGTTAACAATGATCGTAGGACAGGTGGGCTGTGGTAAGTCTTCACTCTTACTAGCGACACTTGGGGAGATGCAGAAGACTTCCGGGAATGTATTCTGGAACAGGTAACTATTTAAAGATTTCATGTTTGTGCTGAATGGTAATAGGTCAGAAAAGGGCCAAATTCTACCCTCAGAGCCATGTGCACAGCTCTTGTGAATTCAGTGCGTGTTGTGGACACGTATCCAAGGGGAGAATTTAGTCCTAAAGGTCACCATGTCTCATCAGTGGTCTCGCATCACAGATATTGGATAAATCGCAATATGCTCAGGATACTTCCCTGATGCACCTGGCCTGCTTTGTGGGCCATGCTGGGGGAGCATAGTCTTGTCCATATGCTCTTTCAAGGGGACACATAAGAAGTTGTTCCTGTGCTCACAAAATGGCAGGCTGTAGTTAGGTCTGGCTTTTGTATGGGAAATGCAGAGAGAAAGCTACTGCACCCCAAAACTTGAATAAGGGACAGTCGCAGTCTGGTCTTTTAAATATCAAGTCAAATTTAAATTAATGTACTGTATACTATGTTTTTATAAGATTTTCAATAACACCCCACCCTCTCTGCTCATTATCAGAGATAAATGTGTGTGAATGTTTTTTATCTTGTGCATATTACAAGAATAGATTTTTTTTTCAGTTTTACTAGCTGCACTGTGTCATAAAACTCTTTTGTTTTACAATTTGTTGTACAATTGTTTGCATGAAGTCTATGGACAAGTGCAGAGGAATCTAGCAGATATAAATACTTTTTCTTCCAGCTGACTGGGAATTAAGGAACAAGCATGCAGTTATAGGACACCCTGATTGGCTAACAATGATTCTCAGCCAGTCAATGAACAGGGATTTTACATACGCCACTGTTTCAGAGAAGTAACTGCACCCTCAACCAATCAGAGTGCTATGCATTTTCATAATTGTTGATAATACCTAGCTCAAAGTGCTTTACAAAGGAGGTCAGTATCATTATCCCCATTTTACAGGTCAGGAAACTGAGGCACCAATAGGTTATGTGAGTTGCTCAAGGTCACCTAGCAGGTTGTTGGCAGAGCCAAGAATAGAAAGCAGGTCTCCAGAGTCTTAATCCAGTGCTCTATCTATTAGGCCACACAGCTCTGGAGAGAAACCAGAGTATAACCATAAGAAAGTTATGCATCAACAGCTGTACAGCATCCTTTCACTCTGATTAGCTGAAATAACTCCATTTCAGTAAAAGTGTAAATATTTTGTTTAAAAATAACATGATTAAAAATGTTATTTTAACTGCTGATTCTAAACTAAAGCAGACGAAATTATGAGTCTGATCAGACTGTTTATAAATACCACTGGCTTGTTGGCCAAGTATGTGCTCAATAACAGTGTAAAGGTCATGACTGGTTTCAATTTCTTTTATCCCACTGCGCCAAAGTATGACAGGTTCAAATCCAGCAGTTATCACATTTGCTTTGCTATCTGTCACATGGGTATACAGGAGCTTCCAACTGAAACAACCTTAGCACAGCTCCTACGGAGGGCAAGATTCTTTTTTCATCTTTCAGAACCACAATCTGTAGAAAGTTCTGCAGGGGTCCCAGTTTGAGTGTTGGCTTCAATTATATATAAATTGTGCACACCTGCAGTACAGCTACCAGATGGAGGCTGCACTGATTTGATAAGACTGCCTGGCAGATTCTAAGGGGATGTCTACACTGGTAGAGGTACAGTGCCACTCAGAGAGCGCTGAAGGGAAACTGCTGTTGTGTGTTCACACTGTCAGCTGCCTGCGCAATAGCATGTTCATACTTGCGACACTTGCAGCAGTCTTCAGAGCGGTGCACTTTAGGCAGCTATCCCACAGAGCATCTCTTCCTCTTCTGCTGCTAAGAGTTGTGGGAAGGTGGAGGGGGTCGCAGGGCATCCCTGGGTCCTGACCCAAAGCCCCATGGTAAATTGCTTCGCATCCCAGCAATCCTTGTGCTTCCATCCACATTTGGAGTCATCTTTCACTGGTTTGTGTACTGTGCACTCTGCCTCTTTGGTCTGCAGGAATGGATCCCGAACTGTTGTCCAGTATGCTGCTCATTCTGACTAACATGTCATGAGTGACAGTGGAGTGATTCCTTAAATTGACAAAGGCAAGAGGAGTGCGACATTGATCTCACCACGCCTAGTAGCTTCGACACGAGATTGTTTGTGGCATTCATGGAGGTGCTGACCACAGTGGGCTCAGGAAACAAGGACTGAGTGGTGGGGTGGGATCACATAGTCATGCATGTCTGGGATGACGAGCAGTGGCTGCAGAACTTTCGGATGATTCATGGGACTGTGTGATGAGCTCTCCCCAGCCCTACAGTGAAAGGACACAAGAATGAGAGCTGCCTTGTCATTGGAGAAGTGTGTGGCGATTGCACTGTGGAAGCTGGCTACTCCAGACTGCTACCGATCGGTCGCAAGCCAGTTCGGAGTGGGAAAGTTGACCGTTGGACGCATGTTGACGGAACTGTGCAGGGCCATTTATCACATCTTGCTCTAAAAGACCGTGACTCTGGACAACGTGCGTGACGAGGATGGCTTTGCACAAATGGGCTTCCCTAACTGCGGAGGGGTGATAGATGGCACGCATATTCTAATTCTGGCCACAGACCGCCTAACCACCGAGTACATTAATCAGAAGGGGTATTCCTCTATGTTTCTCCAGGTGCTTGTGGATCACCGTGGGCATTTCACAGACATTAACACAGGCTGGTCCAGAACGGTGCAAGATGCATGCATCTTTCGGAATACTTGCCTGTTCAGGAAGCTGCAAGTAGGGACTTTCTTCCCGGACCAGAAAATCACCGTAGAGGAAGTCAAAATGCCCATTGTGATCCTGGGAGACCCCGCCTATCCCTTAATGCCGTGGCTTATGAAGCCATACACAGGACAACTTGACAGAAGCAAGGAGTGGTTCAACAACAGGCTGAGTAAGTGCAGAATGACTGAGTGTGCTTTTGGCTGTTTAAAGGCCTGCTGGCGCTGCCTATATGGGGGGCTGAACCTGGCCGATGACAATATTCCAACGCTTATAGCTGCGTGCTGTACGCTCCATAATATTTGTGAAGGGAAGGGTGAAAGCTTCACTCAGGACTGGACCGCTGAGGCTCAGCACCTGGAGGCCGAATTGAACAGCCAGAGACCAGGGCTATTAGAGGGATGCAGCGCGGGGCCATAAGGATCAGGGATCCCTTGAGGCAGCAATTTGAAGCTGAAAGCCACTAATATTTGTTGCTATTGCTCAGGAGTGCAGTGCTTGTAATGCTAGGAGGTGATTGTGATTGGTGCAGACGATGCAATATGAAGGTTTAAGATAATTGTCTGTTGCTTTGCAGGGCTCTGTTTGCTTTCAATTAATAGAATAAAGATTGCTTTCAAACCAAGACAATTCTGTTATTAAAAAACAACAACCAGAGGAGAGAGACAAACAAAATAAACCATCAGCACTGAGGAGGAGGTGGGAAGGGAAGGTCCCAGGAGGAGATGGGGTCCCGGGAAGGTTAAAGATTTGTTTATGTCCAGGGATATATCCAACCTTCTCCTTTGGAGTACAGTGCAATGGGTACTGTACTTCAGCAGGGGTAAACTGCAGAGGGATGGGTGTTCAGTGCAGTGAGTATTGGGAGTCTGCAGTGCTGGACTGTGACGGGGGAAGAGTGGAATGCAACAGGTACAGACTGGAGCCAGGAGGTTGATAAGAGTGTGCTGGCGGTATCTAAGGGGCGCATGGGAAAGAGTTTTTTGCGACAGCGGCTGCATGGGAGGGCAGGCATGGAGCTGCTCCATTTTCAATGCTAGTATCACCTGGAGCGTGTCCGCTTGGCACTCCATAACGTGTAAGAGCCGCTCCGTACCTTCATTCTGGCGTGCCCCGTTCTCCTTTCGGTCCCTCTTCTCACTGTCCCGTTCAGCCAGAGATAACAAAGAGGGAGGCTGGGTTCCCAAGGTCATCTCTGTGAAGCCAAAATGCAACATTTTATAGAAGCAGTATTGTTTGCGATGCACAGAACACTGATTCAGTGATTTAAAACACAGCCACTGTCCACATACCTGTCACTAACTGGCTGACCCCAGGCAAGCACACATGAGCCACAAGCTCCCCAAAATGGTGAGTAGCTACAGGGGCAGGGTAAATCAGTGTTCCTGGACCCTACTGTACACTGGGCACGTGGCTCTTGGGGAGAGCCAGCACTGTAGAGGGGCCTGATAATCATTCCTGTCCGCACATTTTCCATAGGCTGTGTTCATTATGGAAGATATCTCGCTGCTGAGGGTGAGCAGGGAATCCAGGGAGGGTATTCTCCAAGACTACGGCTTCCGCACTGGCCCTTATGCAGTTCGCCTATGTGCAGCAATGGTCCCCGCCCCAGTGACAGCAGAGTGGCGCGGGAAAGTTACCATTAATGGGGCAAGAAACAAAGCAGCTCTGCAAAGAACCTGTGGCAGCGGATTGCCCAGTATCTCCATGAGAGTTCCTGGAGATCTCTGAGGCAGATTCCCATGAAATGAGGGAGTCAATCAACAGCCTGTTCTGCATCAGACTAGGCATGTGGTGATCCACGCATAAAACAAACACAAGCGTGCTTTCTGCCACCCTCCTGCCCCCAACAGCTCACTTCAGTGATTTCCAAAATCAAAGCCACTTACCAAGGGCCTCCTCTCCTGTTTGCACTTCGCCAAACTCCGACAGCTGTGACTGGCTAGCCTCCGGGGTAGAAAAGAGCTCCTGTTTGCATGCATCTCAGATCTCAAAGTCGTCTTCTGCCTCTGGGTCCCCCTCCACATCCTTATCCAAGATTTCCTCCTCCTGGCTCGGTCCAGTCTTGACTGGCATGAATATCCACCGTGGCCTTTGCAGTGGAGGTGGGGTCATTACTGAGTAGAACGTTCAGCTCTTCATAGAACCGCAGCTCCTGGGCGCAGCACCGGAGCGGTGGTTTGCCTCCCATGCATTGTGGTAGGCGTTCCAAAGCTGCTTCACTTTGACCCTGCACTGCAGTGTGTCCCAGTCATGGCCCCTTTCTGTCATGCATCGTGAAATCTGTCCGTAGGTATCATAATTCCTGCGGCTGGAATGCAGCTAGGACTGGATAGCCTCCTCTCCCCAAATGCTGATGAGGTCCAGCAGCTCAGCATTGTTCCAAGCGGGGAATCGCCTGGTGCGTGGAGCAGGCATTGCCACCTGGAAAGATGCACTGAGACCACTGCATGCATCACTGAGCAAACAGGAAGGGGACTTTCAAAATTCCAAAGGAATTTACAGGGTGGGATGATGGTTGGTTACCTGAGGGCAGGGCAGTAGAGTTCAAACCGATGACCAGAGAGGCAAGAACAGGCATTTTGGGACACCTCCTGGAGGCCAGTCACAGCGCTGTAATCAACCAGGGTGTCTACACTGGCACCACGGCCCTGTACCCCCAGTGCAGAAAGCTGTATGCCTCTCATTGGGGTGTTTTTTTTTTTTACAGCGCTGCAACTGCATAGTTTCTGCACACTAAGTGGCTTGGCAGTGTGTACACCTTGGGAGTTATAGCGCAGAAAGCTGCTTTATTGCACAGAAACTTGCCAATGTAGACAAAGCCTAAGGTTCAAAGAGGGTAATCTTATAAAAAAAATCACCATAATTTGCTGTCCTAGCTCAGGCAGTAATATGTGCCACTCAGATTATGTTATAGTAAAGGGCAATTCTTGACTCCAGTAACTCACATTGCAAAATAACTCTTAATTCCATCACTCCAAATTCTTTCCCTCAAGGACATTGTGCTAATGAAATTGGAAGCTCTATCCTTCATATATTTTAAAGAGAAAATGTATGATTCCCAGTTATTTCAATGGGCGTTAAGTGCATACGCACTTTTGAAACTCCTACTAAGCATCTATCTGCATCTTTAGATGCCTAAATATCTTTTTAAAATTTGGCCCTCAATGCAGTGGTCACAACTGTAATGCTTGGAATGTGCCACTATAAGAATTGGAATCAAATGCCCTCTAATTAAAGTGCCATAAAGTGGGGATAAAGAGGTAAAGCAAGGGGAAGAAGACAGAGGACATGGAAGAAAGCAAAAAGAAGACTGAATTTGGGGGAATGTTATCCTAAGAACATAAGAATGGCCATACAGGATCAGATCAATGGTCCGTCTAGCCCAATAGCCTGACAGTGGCCAGTGTCAGATGCTTGAGAAGGAATGAATGGAACAGGGCAATTATCGAGTGATCCAGTCCCAGCTTCTGACAGTCAGAAGTTTAGGTTTCAGAGTAGCAGCCGTGTTAGCCTGTATCTGCAAAAAGAACAGGAGTACTTGTGGCACCTTAGAGACTAACAAATTTATTAGAGCATAAGCTTTCGTGAGCTACAGCCCACTCTGAAGTTTAGGTTCACCCAGAGCATGGGGTTGCATTCCTGACCATCTTGGTTAATAGCCATTGATGGGCCTATCCTCCATGAACTTATCTGGTGTGTTTTTTAACCCAGTTAACTTTTGGCCTTCACACATTCCCTGGCAATCAGTTTCACTGGGTGTCTCTGTGTTGTGTGAAGAAGTACTTCCTTATGCTTAAAGCAAACCTGCTGCCTATTAATTTCATTGGGTGACTCCTAATTCTTGTGTTATGTGAAGGGGATAAATTATATTTTCTTATAACTTTCTCCACACCATTCATGGTTTTTAGACCTCTGTCTTATCACCCCTTATTTGTCTGTTTCCTAAACTGAACAGTCCCAGTCTTTTTAATCTCTCTTCATATGGCAGCTGTTCCATATCCATAATAATTTTGTTGCCCTTCTCTACACCTTTTCCAATTCCAATTTTTGGAGATGAGGCAACCAGAACTATATGCAATATTCCAGATGTGGGCATACTATCGACTTATACAGTGGCATTATGATATTTTCTATCCTATCTATCCCTTTCTTAATGGTTCCTAATGTTCTGTTCATTTTTTTTGACTGCCACTACATATTGACCAGATATTTTCAGAGAAAATGTGCTCAATACTTTACAGAAACACAAAGCAAGGACCTGATTTAGCATTACTTGTAATAAACTGCCACTTTCTAGGATCAGGATTCAGGTAATGCAGTAAATCAGATATAGGCTCATCACAGTGTATTGCTGGACCACGTATTACTTTTTCAGAGGATGATGGTGCCACTCAGGCACTGCCTTGAGTAGAGTGGCACAAGCTGCCTAAGGGAGAGCTCAGTAGAATGGGTGATACCGGCCATGAGTGACCCACCTGCGGCTGAAAGGATCCGTACTGCCCATCACACTGAGAGAGATACAGTCCCTTCCTGCACTACCCAGTGCAGAGAAGGACCATGCAGGCTGCATAATCCTGCTCTTAACCCACTCCACAGCTGACTTAGGGGGAGTGAGGACAAGTCTGTACCTCTCCCTGCCCGCATTTGGGGGTGATGTGTGTTACAGGGACTGAGACTGTCCCTGGTTCTTGTGCAGGGCATGCACGGGATGGAGAAGATTTTCAATATATCAGCCTTTTCAGTGTTTCAATAAAGAATATATTGCTGTTGAATAAACTTGCTATGCATTAAGATTCATGGGCTTTTGGACAGAAAGGTGCGGTGGGGTTTACTTTTGATTATGTAGTGGCTTATGTGAGTAAAATGTAGGTTAATTGTGTGTGGGAGAGAATTTTTTAGTAAAAAATACAACATGTTGGCAAGCTCTCAGGAATTCTGTAGTCAACTGAATTTAGGTACCATGATGGCTTATTATGGACTAACTTTTCAAAGGAACCATAACCTAGCTTTTTAAACAACAGGTGCAATTTTTTCCCATGTGCCTGCACAAACTTGCATTTGTTAGCACAAATTGGGTAGTTAGGTGGCTACCGTTAAAGCACAAAAATTGTGCCCCTTCCTAATTTCATTTGATTATCCCCATTGGACACAAACACTGCTTTCCATTTTTCTCACTGGACCTGAAATTAGCATGATTCAGAAGAGGCATGGCACATTTATATCTGTAATAGATTGCTGTATCAAAACAACTTGGTTTTTAAACAACTTGATGCATTTGAAAATAGTCTAGACAATAATCCTCTGTCCCTCTTACACACCTATGTACATATACACACCTCCTATGAACAGTGTTGACCCTGGCTGGATAGACATAGCCCTAGGCACTTATAGTAGTCTCAAGTGTTGTTCAAGCTGAATGAGCTGACTATGAGGAAAACACTGCTGGACACGAATTCATTTTTTTATGACTGCTAAAACAAAGTGCAATTTCTGTAGAAGGAACAGATGCTGCTGTCTTCAAACAGCAGCAACCTGTGATAAACACTGTTTGCAGTCTATATGCAAAGTAGAATTTAATTGTTACTCTTTCTGGGGCAGATTGCTCATATTTACTTAAGTAAACCATCTTTGTCTGCTTTTTATTTGTGATGCAGCAGTATTCCTGACAGCGAGACAGGGGAAGATGTCAGGTATGGTATTATATGTGATTGTTGCTCTTTCTACTTCCTACTAAATTAATCACAGTGGAAGGAACCAAAGGGGAATTCAGCTTGTCAAACTATTAAATACCATTAAAGAGAAAAAACATAAGGTAAGGGTTGTTTTTTTTAAAGTCAGTGGGACTTGTGCTCTTAAGCCACTTAGGATAAAATTTTCCAAAGCACTAAAATGACTTAGGCTCCTAAATCACTTAAGTACTTTCACGAATCCCACTGTAAATTCCTAAATCAGGTTATTCCCTAGTTCCACATTTTCAGCACTTATCAGCACTTTCTAGCACTATCACTTTAAAAGTCTTATTTGTTAATGCAATCTTTCACCTTTACCCTTGTCTTCATTTCCTTCATCCTGTCATGAGGCTTTTATTTTCACTCCCCCACCCCCAGGTCTTCGGGCATGTGGGAAATTAAAAAACGTGTGGGGAGTACAGATTAGTCCATGTCTTCGCTGGGCATCCTGGCATGGAAATCATGTTTGCCTTATAACTAATTTGAGAGCTGAGTTCACCTTAGATTTCTGGAATACTTCTCAAATCTCATTCTGGAACAGACAATGCCATGCTTGGCATCTTAGCCTGGCATGCAAACATCTGGAATGTTGTACAGGTGACAGTTCTAAAAAATCATGAGTGAAATCCTGGCCCCATTAAAATCAATGAGACCTTTGTCATTGATTTCAGTGGAGCCAGGATTTCACCCTATGTCCTTTTTTCTGACTCTCCCTATAGTGTGTGTCCTCTACTGACCAGAAAGTCTTCCTGGCTCTCTGAAGCATTAACTACTCTACTGCTGTTACTTTTGGATTCTCATGCTCCTCCGCTACTGCTTTGCTTGTTTCTCAAGTTTGTCCCCCTACCCATCAGATTGAGTATCTTTCACTATGCTTATTTCCCACCTAATTATGTATCTGATAGATCCCTTTGACAAGAGCTTATTCCTGACCTACAGTACATTTCCCTCTTACTCTCGAATGTTCCTTTACAGCCTCTTTTTCTGCCATTACTATAAAGCAGTTCCTTATACCTAATTCCTGAGCCTGATTTCAAGTTTTCTGTTCTCCTTACCTGTTCCACATTGTCAAACCAACTAATATTTCTTTGTGAATAAGGATTGTCAATTGACTGCTTATAAAGAGAGAGAAGTCCTATGGCTTGCTGATTCTTTATTGGTTGGCATTACACTGGATTAATACGCTGTGCAAAATGTAGTCACTTCATTATTTGTATCATCAGTTATATTAAAAATGCAGCCAGGAAAATGAAAATAATTTAATAAACAAAGAGGCAGCTGACAAACTGTAGACAAGATTACTGTTATTTTTGAAATAAAAATAATTTAGTGTGCACCATTTGCTGTAATAGCTATGTCTGCTCATTGTTAGCACTAAATTGTCAAGTTATTAGAAGTCATTTGCATATCCTTAACCTTACTAACAACAAGAGGAATAACCTGCACATTTCATTCAGATGTAGGAATTTTGTTAGAAATTTGTAAATCCTGTCGTGCATTTGTAGTGTGTGTTTATCGATATCTACATATAGATAGAGAGCTCCTTGTATTTCAGGAGGCTTTTTAGTATAAAACTGCACTTATTTACTATTCCTACTAAACATGGTTTGTTAAAGGTTCTACTCTTCTTTTGTGTTTGCATTTTGAGTTTTTAAACAGTTTGTGAAATCCTTATACAGTGTGTTTGCACTACAGGCAAAATTCTGCCCTAATTCACATCTGTGTAACCCCTCTAAAATCAGTGTGACTGCATGGGAGAACTGAGAGCAGAATTTGACTCTGTATGAGTTCCTGGATTATATGATATATAGAAAAACAACTGCAGTGCCTTGCAGTTAATCCCCTTTTTACTTTTTTCCCCCAAAATGTACCGGTTTTTTTTACTGTTTTCATAACAATTAATCCTGTCATGTTTCTTTTGTCGTCATTTCTATAACTAGATATTTGTCTGCTTATAAATGTCCTGGTCTTGCAGGATTTGGGCTCCAAGTGTACAGCTGTCACTTCCATCAGCTTTTTGTTTTTAAAAATGTTTAAATAATCCAGACTTTAAATACATGTTTTTTGTGTCTGAATTGAGAAATATGCTAAATGTGCAACAGCATACAAATTCTGCAATATTTTAGCAATATCCTTTGGAATAAATGGGAGTTTTGTGTGCATAAAGGCTGCAAGAATGTGAAGGAGAGGCACTCAGTTGTCTGATAGTTGCAGCTGTACAAGAATGCTTTACAGTATTTGCATTAAATAAAAAATTAGGTGATTTGAAAGAGAACATAAAATCTGATCAGAATTAGAAAAACCTACAAGATTTTAACATTTTTATGAAGATTAATAACAAATAAGGCAATGTCTATAACAGTGTTGTGTAATTAGCATTTCCTCAATTCCCATTAAGGGTATACAACTTTTCTCAGGTTAGGGCCCTTCGAGTTACCAATTTCTCTGCTGTACAGTGGGGGGAGGGATAGCTCAGTGGTTTGAGCATTGGCCTGCTAAACCCAGGGTTGTGAGTTCAATCCTTGAGGGGGCCACTTGGGGATCTGGGGC